GTATCTTTTTATAACTTCTAACAGAACCTGATTTGTGGATAGCGCAAATCATACGTACATTCATACATTCGAGAGACCGAGTCCAAATAATGATTAAATGATGGGGGTGGGGGAGGCAAAATTTAATTTCGATTTAGGCTAAAAAAAAAAAAAAAAAAAAAGAAAAAGTTACTTGAATGCGACGAGGATGGGATTCGAACCCACGCGTGCAGAGCACAATGGATTAGCAGTCCATCGCCTTAACCACTCGGCCACCTCGTCCTCCTGGCAACGTATGCGTAGCATTTAGGGTGTTGAGTATTCAGACCCCAAACTACCTTTCTGTATTGTTACATTTAGTTGTTACTGACTGAACCTAAAAAAAACGCTGCATTTTGTTGCAGCTAGGCCAGATGTAGCTGGGAGGAGAGGCTAGCATTCTAGTCTACTGTGGTAATGCTAGGCTGGTCCGGACCCAGCTTTTACCTGCGTTTCGTTTGCCTCTGAAGTCAAAACTCTGAGCTGGGTTTGACAGCCTTCCAGTTCCATAGTGGACACTGTTCGCAATACCTTTTAAAACCATCATTTTAAGCTTTGTTTTTCGATCAGCAGACACCGCTTTTAATTTCTTCAATTTAGAGTCGCAAGCGCTAGTAGCCTAATTAATTTTAGACAAGCTTTTCTTTTAATAAAACGTGTTTCCATCAGCTTACTGAAATGAAAGTCTACGTTACAAATCAGAACTAGGGTAGTCGGAGTTGCTCCCTCTTTTCAAGTAGGAAGTCCGACTTCGGAATGCGTTCCAGTTCACGTTTTGACTGGGAAATCGTAATTTCAAAGTTCCGATTTCCCGGAACTTTGAAGGAACACACATCTTCTGCTTCTGTTATTATACATTTGCTGGATGTAGTTAACGCTTGTTGCAATGACCTCACAATTTTAGCCGGTTGCCTTTGAACGCAGAGAAGCTATGCTCAGTTTTTGTACATTTAATTGGCCGTGGAGTGTAGAGCGTTTCCTTATCCCTGTCCGTGTGAGGGTAGGTCTGTCAACTGTGCTTTCAATTTGCAAAAGAAAAAAACCCCTCAAACTATGAATTTATATTTATCAAATTGAAAGAAAAAAAACAACTGTTAAACAATTTCCCCATTTGAAAGAAATCAAAACTGCTTTTCATGTTTATTTAAATGACCAGACATTCTGTTCTGTTTCTGAAATCAACAAAAATGCCCTTCTGAAAGATATAGAGGAATTCAAGGCCTCTAGAAATTCCCGGTGTATTGGGCTCTTTACTTCCTTCTTTCACCTAAATTAAAAGGCTGTCGAGTCAAAAAGTGAATATAAGAACCACTAGTTTTCCAGTCATTTAATACAATCTTCTAATCAAATATCTGTCCTTTTTCACTTTTAAGCCATAGTCACCTGGTATAAGTTTCTTGTAAACTGGCCAATCGAAATCTGCTGAATCTAAACAAACTTAAACACTCCTAGGAAACTTCACCAGGATTTACAGTCAGCTGGTGTTTTGTGTTTTTGAAATTCACTGTGAAATATCTCATAGTCTTCTTAGTCATCTGGATTTATGTTGCTAGTTAACATTAGCGTCCAATATAAGATGCTAGCAGTTAGATTAGATAATACCCTATCGGATACAGTTCAACAACAAACAAGCAGGTGCACATGTGAGAACTACTTGCTGTAACAATCAGTAACAGCGTGAGTCAAAGTCCTTTGGTTCATCACCATAAACCTGATCCCCTTCGAACACATTGGAGGGCACACTTAAACCAGCAGCAGCATTTAGTCACACACACTTTCTATCACAATGGAGAGAGGACTCTTTCTGCTGGGGCTTGTGGTTTTGACTACATCCTCCACCGTGAGTACTGAATATATACAGAATTCATAGTGAGTGTTACTGGTTTTAATTGCACTCACTTTTACTGGATTTGCTTTGTTCAGATACCGCGTTTCAGTGAAGTACACGGTACGTAAAATGGGAGAAAACTTCTATTATGATTTTTTTTTATAACAATAAGATACAATTTGTCAGGTAACAAACCCATGTGTATGTATTGCAGAGGTGTACGAGAATGGCGAAGATGAGAACCCCATCCTAAACATTGGTAAGCAGTGACAGTGCTTGACTTCATAACATTAACTTTAAAACAAAGACGTTGAATCGTGGTCACTTTTGCTGCAGATTCTGATGCTGACCTCTTTGAGGGAGACATTTTGCTTCCTGTAAGTTGGAACCAGACGATTTTTCTTTTGCTAAATCACGTCAATGTCAGTAATTATTGAGAGCTGTTAGGCCTTGTACTCCTTAGAGACTAAAGGGCAACATCTCTTTGAGATAATAGTGTGTTTTTTGATTGGGTGTTTTACTTAAGTAACTTTATGTTGCAGAAAGAAAAGAATGCCCTGGTCAACCAAAGATATAGGTGGAAATTTCCAATCCCTTACATTCTTGGGGATGATTTAGGTGAGCTCATATAAAGCGGAGGATACTCTCACTGAATGATTGTATTCAAACATATGAGTAGTTGATTGAGTTCAAAGAACAGAATTGATAAATTCCAGAGAAATAAATGCTGTAAAAGTAGGTTAACATTTAAATATTGCTGAATGAAATATTAAGTCAACTGATAGCTTACAATGTAGAGCAAAGGGAAATTTACATAGGATTTACTTTGGATGCAATACCACGCATCATTTAAAGTAATTTAAATTGGTTTAGCTAAGTTTAACTTCCAGAGTTTCTGTGACTGAACCTTTGAACAAATCCAGAAAAAATGGGGCAGAGAGAGAAAAGTAGGTTAAATGAAACACTAGTTTCTAAAATAAAACCTGTTATTTGCAAATCAATTGGTAGGAAACACAGTGAGATAAGTCCTAGAGAACTAAGTTTAAAACCCATAATAGAGCATGGTGAGGGTTCTGTCATGCTGTGCGACTGTTTAGTTCCCTCATGGAATAAAGATGTTGAAAACAAGATGAAAACAAAATTACTTTAATTATATATATTATTATTATTATTATTTTAAAGACCTGGAAATGAATTGTCCATGTTGACTGAGAATTTAAACCAATACATTAGCAGCTCTGAAACATCTATCAATATCTTTAGAGCCTGTGAGTGACAATAAAGACCATTAATTATTCCTGAGATGTTTGTTGTTCACATTGTACTTGATCATCCTGTCAGTTCCTTTTTCTTTTGTTCAGATCTGAACGCTAAAGGTTGCGTCCACCAGGCGTTCGAGATGTATCGTCTCAAGTCTTGTGTTGACTTCAAGCCGTATGAGGGAGAGAAAACTTACATCAAGTTTGAGAAGAGGGGAGGGTAAAGCAGTAACTGTCTTTTCTGTTCACTCCATGTCCAAAATATCGAGCTATATCCAGAAGTTTTGACAATTTTTTGCAATTGTCAAATCTGTCAAAATGGTATAAGCATTCTGAACTGTTCCATGAAAACCTAATATGTTCTTTTCAAATGGGTTAGTTTTAAATAAGATGTAATGGGGCACATACCTTTCAAAAATTCACAATTTTATCACATCAGTCCACAAGTAACACCCTTTTCATCGTACTGTGACAGTAGTTTGTAGTTTTGTGTGCAAAACTTTGTCAATATCCCGCTAATGTTAAAAAAAAAAAACAATTTCGAAATTGTGGTGTTTCCGTTGAATAAGAAGTCACACATAAATGCGTTTGTTCACATGCTAAGTCATAGAAAAACCATAGCGCCCCATCATCCTCCTGCCACTTCCTGTCATCTTTTTCGTCTTTCATCAGCATCGGATCATTGATCAAGTGATTTGCGTGACACGAAAAAAAGTGTTTCCATTAGTTTAGCAAAAAAAACCCAACAACAAACAAATTTCGAGCCATGTGGCTAAACAAAACCACATCAAAACTTTTTATTAGAAAACGTGTTTCCATTAAGCTAATTTATTTTCGTAATTCCAATTTGCGCAACTGTATGGCCAATGGAAACGCAGAAACAAACATCACTGGAGTGACTTGTATTGATGGGACATTCTGCCTTTAACCAGCTCCCTCTCCTGTCAGGTGCTTCTCAAGCGTTGGCGACCAGCAGAATGGTCAGATCTTATCTTTGGGAACAGGCTGTGACCATAAGGCTGTGATTGAACACGAGCTGCTGCACGCTCTGGGATTTTACCATGAACAGTCTCGTACAGACAGAGATGACTATGTTGACATTTGGCTGGACCAGGTGACACCAGGTACCTCCGGCACCTGAATATGTGAAGAATGAAATGCTAGTTTGAATGTTTTTCAGTTGTTTGACGTAAAGATAAAATCCTCTGCAGGACTTGAGCACAACTTCAACAAATACAACGATGACTTCATCACCGATCAAAACACGGCGTATGACTATGAATCTGTTATGCATTACCGACCCTTCTCCTTCAACAAGAATGAATCCATTCCCACAATCACCACCAAAATTCCAGAGTTCTACAACATCATCGGCCAATATCGTGACTTTAGCAAGATGGACACCCTGAGGCTCAACCGGATGTATAACTGCTGTATGTATATTTTGCAAAGTCAGCTTCTTATGGACTTTCTAGCTAGAAATATAAATCCCCAGAAATAAACATTGAAGTTGCCCCTCTCTTTTACCATAGCTGGGCCTCTCACCCTTCTGGATCAGTGTTCCTTTGAGTATGCAAGCATCTGTGGGATGATCCAGTCTTCTAATGACGATGCTGACTGGGTCCATTTGAAGAGCAGTGCAGGGGATGAGGATCATACGCTCCTGGGAAGGTGCAGAGGTCAGAGTTGAAGAAGTTCACTTCTAAAACCCAACAAAACTGAAGCTCAGACTTTTAAAAGACTCCTCTTTCACTTATCTCCAGATGCAGGATACTTCATGTACTTCAACACCCGGACCGGAGACCCTCTGCAGTCTGCTCTACTAGAATCCCGAACCTTTTACCCCAAAAGGAAGCTCCAGTGTCTGCAGTTCTTTTACAAGATGACTGGAAGCGCCCAAGACAAGCTAGTTGTATGGGCCAAGATAGACGATGGCACCGGCACTGTCCGCAAAATGAGGAAAATACATACCTTCTATGGTAAACGGGACAAGTTTCAGAGTCGCTAACAGGAGTTTTTCCTTGAAATTCATTGAAGCTTATCTAATCCGATTTGCATGCAGACAGTATGAGCCACAGTGAAACAGGTGCACAAGTGAATAAATATAGTATTCAAATTAAGATATTTTTAAAAACCCTCAAATAGGCTCTCCTGATGGAACAACACCTACCTTTTGGCTGCCGTAACATTCCAGGAGCCTAAAGCGTGTCAAGTGTTACTGGGCCTAGGTATCTCTGTTCCCCAAACTGCATTTTCTTTCAAATAATTTAGATGTGCTCTACAAAAAAAAAAAAAAAAAAAAAAAAAAA